GAAGAAAAATAAATAAGCATGAATAACTAAAAATCAACATTTAATTAGAGGTTCAATGTTAAATATGTAGGAGAGCAAAAAGAAGTCTATCAATGTGACAGAATTTCATATGATTCAAAGAAAAGTTGGCGATCTGTCCTTGTGAGTAGCGCGGGACTCTGAACAGCTCTTCTACACGAGTTTCCGTCGCATTCCATACTCTTCGACCAGAACTGAGTCAATTTCCATTCCGGAAGTTGTGTGCACACTGCTCAAAGCAGTGTGACATCGATAGACTGAAAGAAAATCAGAAGAGTAACATCACAATGCAGTGATGCAAAACTTCTTCAGTTTCTGATATACTGTTATTTCGATAAGCGTGGAAATGCCCAAAAAAGTTTCGAAACAGAGCGAAAAATTTATGATCAGAAATTCCAAACTTAACCACACGTCTCAACTGGAGACCAACAACACAGATTTGTGAAGAATTTGAAAAACTCAGTTCGTTTTGAAAAAAGATGTCAAACAGGGACCTTCAGACAACGTTAGCAACTAATAGTTAACTGTGTGTATGTCAAACTATGTACATTACACATCTTCAAGCACAAGCTATAAGCAGAATTCCTTAAACGAAGAGGAGCATGGCTTCTTCGTGCAGTTCCATCGTCATTTACGTTGGCCAATTAACATGTGCCAACAATTTGCGCGCACCTATGGCCAGAATATCAGATAAACAAATCCGTATACGTTTCTACGAGCTGTGCAAAGAAATCCAACAATTAATCGACCTCATTTCCTCCCGTTTCTCGAAATCTAGTACACCTAGTTTACTATCTCGTAGACATTCTCATGTCATCGAACAGCTCATCTTCTTGTTGTCAAAAATTCAGCGAAAGACTGTCTAAATTTTTTACAAAAGCTGCAAATGTGCTTTTGTAAGGGAGTTTGGCAAAGACTCTAGCTTTGTCCATTTCTGTCTTGTTTTCACTGTTAATTAGTATTTGCTGTTATTCTCAGTAATATATTCCTTGCCAAAATGTAAGCAGTAAGTAAACACGAAATTGGCTCCAATGGCCGTCCACTCCACTTCGTAATCATGGATAGAAATTTTTTGTGTAAGGTTTCAGTCAGCCAAAGTGTAGTCATAATATCATATTACCTCCTAGTACAAACTTTTGGGACCGAGAGAAGGTGTGAAGATCGATGAATTAAATCTAAATGTTGCAAAACTATTCGACTTTTTGATGTTACAAAGCAATTTTACTACAAATCGAAATAATTAATAAATCAAAGCATGCGTGTATAATAAATATCGCCGTATAATTACAATCAGTGTCTTGCACTTATTATAATCATTGAAGACAATAGTTACCTGTGGCACGACGATATCAAACATACCTCAAGCCAGAAATCAAAGAATCAAGCAAAAATATCTTGTTTTTTTTTCCACAATTTAAGTTGCTCATATCATCGCACTGCTTAAAGTGAATTTGTGCCAAGTCTGTTCCCTTTTTTTAAGCTTTTGACAAGAAATC